GAATTATCATTCGCTGAAAAGACTTTTTCTGGGTGTTTTGTATTGAATTTATTTTCATTGATTTTTGACAAGTTGACTGTAAAATATAAGAAAAGGGTATATTCGCTGGATTTTATTTTAACTAAAACATTTCTTCAGCGAAAATAGCAAAAAAATGTTGCAAGCAAAAATAAAGTATTTTACAGTAATTAATTTATTTTGAGCATGCGCAGACGTTCTGTCAATGTTGCCGGGAGAGGTAATTTTTGATGAAAATCGTGGAAAAGACCCACTTGAGATTTTCAGATCTTGAAAAAAAATTACGTGCATACTCAGCAGAAACTTGTTAATCAACCTGCCAAGTTTCACTGATATCTGCTGTAGAATTTCTGAGAAAATGTTGGAGACGGAAAAATGGACATAACCTGAATTATAAAGTCCCCTTTTCAGGCTGCGCCTGAACGGGGACTAACAAATGACTATAATTTCAATATATCAATTTTTATAAGCATCATATGCATATTGTTTTCTGTTTTAGGTCAAATAATAGATCAAAGAATGAGGGCATGATTTTGGCACAAGCCAAGTCTATCCCAAGTGGGTCCCGACTAACATGATCACAATTGCTGTAATCCCTCTGCAAACACAAAGGATTACAAATTTTAGCACGTGCCGAGACTCCTTAACGTGAATGTAGCAATAGTCATAAATGAATGACAAAAACATTAATATTTGTCTGCAGGGATAAATACCTTTAATATCATATGATGGGAATAACAGCATAAATACAAGTTCTCCACCAGATGGCGTCTGCTTACAGGAAATTAGTCGACTTACTTTATTCTGAAATCACAATAAAACAAGATTTATTAAATTAAGTGACAAATCATTCATGGTAAAATCATTTATTTTATAAGTATATTAATAACCAGCACATAATTTGATAATCAAGTTTTTGTTGTGTATGAATTATTTTTGATTACTTGAATATGAAGTATTTATCTGACAATTGAATGTTGATTTTATAGATTTTACAATTGGTTTACAATGGCAGCTGCTTATACAATTCTGACAGATTACATATAATAATAATTATCACCTTAAAAATAATAAAAATAATTTCAGATTAAACAAGTAATTGTTAAAGACAATTCCTGTTGCAATTATAAGAACTTTTCTTCATGCCTAAGATAAAGTAATATGTCCAAAAAGCAAGATGAACATGTTTTGCTACATGCATAATATATGGAATCAAATTGCATAATGCAAATCACTGGTTGTGTGACCAGGTACTGTGGAATACTTTATTTTCGCTTGGAATTAATTTTCGCTATTTTCACTGAAGGAATGATTCAGTGAAAATAAAATCCAGGGAATATACCTTGTTTTACTATACTTTACATTCAACTCGACAAAAATCAGTGCAAAATAAATTCCATACAAAATGCCCAAAAAGTCTAATCAATCTATTCAGCGAAAATTATTTCCAGCTAAAATAAAATAATTCACAGTAAACTGTTTCTGAAGAATATGTACTGTATTAGTCAGTAATAGAGACTGAATAATAGACCAATCTAGTATCAACAATAAACAGATTTATTAAATGACTTCTAAATTTGCAATCTAATATATGGTAACAAACTTATTTCTATTTGATATTTATCATATTTATGCAATTTTTGTATTTAAACTCATGTCCCCAGTATCGTGAGAATGTGCCAGCTTATTTGTCATGACGTTACCCAATGACACTCTATCTAATCTTTTTGTGGCGGGAAATTAAGACATTTAAAAATTTAATGAGAATGAAGCACAAATCAAACAATATACAACATTGAGTTGAGAAACTTGGAGTGTCAGTTAAAGTTTCCTCACACCCAAGCATAGTCATAAACATGTATGATGTATGCACCAAATATGAATAAAAATGGTCCACAAGTCTTGGAGATATAGTAGCATGGCCAAAAAGAAATACATTCGTCAGCCAGCCATCTTTGATCAGAATTTATAACAAATTGTCAGGGACATATATCCTAACATGTATAATATATGTAAAAAACACCGTAAATTTAAGTTTATTTGAATACAATATGCATTAAATTAAAGAAGGTGAAAACAATTAGACTTACTAGCACTGGTCTATAATGTCTGGCCAAGAAGGTTATCAGCTTTCCAGTGTTCATGTTTCTTTGTACAATATAAAATAAAGACCCAGACTCTTCTACAGTTTTTGGTGAATACAAATAAGTCTGTGGAAATATTAAATAAAATAAACAGCATTTTACGAACATGTCCAAATCCCCAAAACAAGAAATGTCATTTCATATATCACTGAAAAATATTAACATTTCTTTGCAAACTTAATATTATCTTCATG